TTCGATTCCCGGGTCGGGCAAAGTATGAATGTATGAAGTATGAATTTTTTTAAAACCCATAAAAAATTCTCAGTAGTAGCACGAAGTCTGGAATTGTGCCCGGTATATGGCAATAGGCTCACTCCCTATTACATGGGACTCATAACATAAATAGTGAAAAGTGGGTGTTACATTGTACAGTGGTATAATGTGCACCTCTGCCTACCCCTTCGGGGATAAAAGGCGTGATGTTATGTTATGTTATCAGAACTCTAGAGGAGTTCGTCGTTTTAAATAAAGCTTCCAAACTCGCGACTTAAGCTCGAATTCATTTCGGTGGCCCATGTCCTTTCTTATAAGCGAGGTAGGTAAGCAAGGGCCAACGGACGGCGAGCACGGGTAGCTCGCCACCTAACCAGAATCAGACCTAAGCGCACGGCGCGTCGCGTGCCGCATTCGCCTTAACTCGTCGAGTACCGTATTTATAGACACAATTAAAGAACAATAGGTTGCGGTCACCGGTGACCGCTTGGTGTTTGACAGTTTAAACAGCCATCAGACCACTACAAATGGCGCCCGACGGGGCTGATGCTGATTCGGAGCCGCAGAGGAGTTAACTGGTTGCTGTTTTCCTTCACCGTTTGTCAGTGGTGTCTTAATAATCTTTAGAAAGTACATATAACTCGGAAAAAGTCACATTGGTACTTGCCGTTGGTAGGTTTCGGACCCGCACTTCATGCATGAGAAGCGAACGTCTTAAACCTCCAGGCCACCACGACGGAGGAGGTGGTGGCAATAAATTCTGAGGCCTTAGTTCGATTCTGTTTTCCATTAAAGTAGTCAAAATGAGACCGCACACTGTGATTGATTGGTTCACTGGAGCCGGCAAATCAGAAAGAAAGAAAGAAGAAAGAAAAAACATTTATTTAGCACCAGGCACGATGCAGCATAAATAAAAAATAAAAAAGACAATCAAGATGCGACAGTGGAAGTAATAAAAATATAAGAGTTGAAAAATTGAAACAGAAGAATTAGAAAAGAGACGCTGACAACATCATCATCATCATCATCATCATCAACAGCCTATAAATGCCCACTGCTGAGCAAAGCCTCTTCTCACACGGAGAAGGTTAGAGCGTTAATCACCACGCTTGCTCAATGCGGGTTGGCGATTTCAAACTTATCATTAGAAATTATAAGTCCAGGTTTCCTCACGATGTTTTTCCTTCACCGTTTGTCAGTGGTGTCTAAATAATCTTAGAAAGTACATATAACTCGGTAAAAGTCACATTGGTACTTGCCGTTGGTAGGTTTCGAACCCGCACCCTCATGCATGAGAAGTGGGCGTCTTAAACCTCCACCACGACATGACAACAATGCTGACAACATGCCTAATGCTAAAAGGGTCACCCACTCAGTGTAAGCCAAGCATACAGGTTACCCAGCACTGATTTTCAGTGGGCACCCATGGAATCAGAGCGCTTGTTTGATGAGTTTAAACATAAAAGTGGTACAAAGTCCTCTAGATTGCCAGAGACCGCTGCAGGGTCTCTATCAAAAATGTATAGTCTCTTTGTCGGCTCTTACAACATCCAGATACGATACGACCTTCAAACCTTCAAGAAAAGAGCGTATTCCTTTTTAAAAGGCCGGCAATGCACCTGTGGCTCGTCTGGAGTTGCGGGTGCCCATGAGCGGCGCTGATCGCTTACCATCAGGTGACCCGTCTGCTCGTTTGCCTCATATTCCATAAAATAATCCAGGTGACATCCCTCATGTAGACGTGGAAGTAAATGTATTGAAATATATTTATTATAGTCTAATACAGGGGTTCCCAAAGTATGCGCCCGGAGCCCCAATGCGCCGTAGAAAGTAAAGGTGTCGTCAGTCGATTATCTAATTATTAAAGACCACAAATATTGGTGGGTACTTTTTTGATCAATGTGCAGCAAAAAATGAGACTAGCAAGGGTCAAGTGTTATTGCCCGCTTTAAAAAACTGTGCGAAGATTATCAAGCTCACACTTCACATTAATTTGACGGAGTAAATATCGTATTTAATTCTTGTTTTTTCTTAAGTCTTTCTTGCTGTTTTCGTTTATTATTTTATAATATAAAAATCAATTTATGATGCCCGCTTCTCATGCGTTAGGTTCATGCGTCCGAAACCTACCAACGGCAAGTACCAATGTGACTTTTTCCGAGTTATATGTACTTTCTAAGATTATCTAGACACCACTATGACGAACGATGAAGGAAAAACATCGTGAGGAAACCTGGGCTTATCATTTGCAATAAGTTTGAAATTGCCAACCCGCATTGAGCAAGCGTGGTGATTAATGCTCAAACCGTATCCGTGTGAGAAGAGGCTTTGCTCAAAAGTGGGCGTTTATAAGCTGTTGATGATGAAAAATCAGTTTCATATGGTGGTGTTTTAATTTTCGTCACGATCAACATAACCTAACTTCTATTATTTGTAGGTACCTATTTCATTTGACTATTTTCCTCAAATGGCTAGGACAGGGCTCTGTAGGTTACAAAAGATTGGGAACCTCTGGTCAAATACACGGCTGAGGTAGGCCATAAAATATTGCACATTTAATAAAACAAAACAAATAATGTTGTAAATGTAATATAATTTATTATTTTCTATACAATTAAATTACTAGCACAGTCACAATAACTACCCGGATAATAATAATAATATTTCTAATAAATATTTACAATTATTATTTATTAAATAAAAATTAAACAAAACAAAAATGGAAGAAAAGAAATGACTAATGGACAGACAGAATATTTTACTTTATGTAAAATTATCATTAATTCATTTATTTATTTACAAGACACGCATAAATATTTTTAAGTAACTTAGCTTAAAATTAAAACTGTACATTATTATTTTACAAAACAGAAATAAAATTATTATGACGATAAAATTAATTAGTAATTTAATTATTATGAGAAAATGAAAAAAAAACGCATCATTTTTTTAGCAATTGAAACAGATTATTTTGTATTTATTGCATTGTATGAAAATAACAAAAGAGGATATAGAAAAAAAATCTTATCTTTGATTAAAATTAAATTAAATAATTTCCCTTGGTACAGTAAGCATCAAAAGTTGATGAACGCATTTATATTGTCAAAATCGATGTGCAGCGTATTAGGTACTTAAATTAGTCAACATGACAAGCGCCAGACATAAATAAATTATCATGTGTTGCATTTAAGGTGCTTATCATGTGCACCGATTTAGGTATAATATGGTATACAGGCGATTTTAAAAATGTAAATGTGTTCATCAACTTTTAATACTAACTGTACCAAGGTAAACTAATTAATAAAAGATGGCAGAAATTTATTTTACCCAAAAACAAAGATGTCTTCTTCTTCTTATTTTGTTGTTTTTTTGCTTTTTTTGACGGTGTGGGGGGGGGGGGATCATCCCATAACTTCTCCCGCCCTGGATGAGGCGGGAGGGAGTGTCAGACTCTTACTGACTAAACACCCCGTTCCTACTCCTGCACCTCGAGCCGGAACTTTTGAAGCTGACCGTACAAATTATTGTTTCTCATTGCTATAAAATGATGTTTAACTGTTTTTATTACACATTTACGATTCATCGCCGATTTATCAAGTAATACTAAAACACTAACATAATTAGACAAGATAATAAAAACTCTACGGGGTAGGCAGAGGTGCGCATAATTTTGAAATTTTAAAAATCGAATCACCTCATTGTGTCAGAATGGTCGACCATTAATCAGTGCAAGAGGTCCTAAGTATATATCCTAAGACCCCTGAACCCAGTCACTATTGATAGACACTACATACTTGATTAGACTTTATCGTCTTGTCGTATTACCTTAGCGAATAAATTACTTATCTATAACAATAATTATATTTATACAAACATAATACATAACCATAACGTATATTATACAACTTATTATCTATTTGGTTATTATATCGCATCTTTCTATCAGTTCTTTTTTAAATATATTTTTTTATAATCGATACCAAAAGTCAGAGATATTCTTTAGCCACTTTTGATTAATTTTTCTTACCGTCAAAGATTAAATTATGCCATGATTGTGAATTATTTTATTTTTTTATACTTTTAACAGTAGTCACACCTATAATTCTAATAAGGTAAAAATTGGGTACTTGCCAACTAGTAAAATTCAATACTTTTTTCGAACTGTCAAAAACGACAGTTTTCTATGAATTTTGTACGGGATTGTGTATTGTGACGTCACGTTTTTTAACGTAAAACAGCAAACTTATTTCTCAAAAATTTGCTGGGTAAATACTAATATTGAGTTGGTCATAAAATAAATTTAGGAAAGTACCCAGTTAACATCAAACGTCGAATTGTCTTACAAATACTGATTAGTTATTAGTAATAAATACCTATTCTAATATTCTATTTATTTATTTTACATACTCTACCAGGAACATTTACTTTAATATTTTTAAAGTACCGTTTTGTATTAAAAACCTGTTTCATAATATCTGAATAAGTTGCTAAAACTTAAATAACACATAGTTTGTATTGGAAGAAATACGCCGTCAATTTAACCGTCGGTTAGCGTATTAGAACCTTAATCAGACACTGTGAAATAGGTCCTTAATATCATAATAATATTAGGTGATGTAGTCTCAAAATGGCGTTACGAAAAGACAGCCCACTTACAAATTAATCGAAGGTGGTCATTGCCACTTTTGATTAATTTTCTCCTACGGTAATGGGCGGAAAATTAAGCATTACACTATGCTTTAATAAATATATCAGCTATAATTCTTCACACGATTTAATGACGTATGTATTGTTGACCAGTAGTGGCTATTACCACCTTTTTAAATTCCTCCAATCATTATATTATTGGACGATATATTATCTTTTTAACTAAAAGTGGCACTGCCACTTTTCATTAAATCAACTAAAAATCCTTCTATGGTACCACAAAACGAAGTTAATCGATGATGGTCATGCCACTTTAGATTTACAACCTCAAATTACGTGACATTAATCTCTTCTTCTTCATCGCTTTCGGTGACAGTGCTGTGGTTATACAAGCCTTGTGCCATGAGCTGTAGAGCCAGTGGGTTCCTCTGGCCAGACGCCTTCTTGATCTTGGCTCGCTTGTTCTGGAACCAGATCTTGATCTGTGCCTCCGCCAGGCCGAGTTCTGCTGCCAGGCTTTGTCGTCTTCTCTCTGTTAGATAGCGGTTTTCTGCGAACTCGTGCTACGAAGAAAAAATACTTGTTAGCTTACTATTTAACAAGTTTACTTGTTTAGTTAACTAATGATACTATACAGACGTTGGAAACTGTTCATTAAGACAATCCTTTCACGTCAATGGATTGTTTTAATGAACCACGTGGTTTGCACTACAGATTTATGATACGCCATTAGATTCATAAACAACTTTTTATTTTATTAGATTAGTCAATCTACTAATAATATGCCTTCTAATTTTAAAGATATAAAATGTACACTACATTTAGTAGAAAGGTCTTTAATACAATATTTATATCTACCTTTAATCTAGCAAGTTGAGCAGCGCTGAAAGCAGTTCTTGGTCTCTTCTCTTCGGGCATAGCTTTCTTCTTCATCCTTCTACTTCTTGGACCTGAGAACAAAGAGAGGAGAAGATTAATTTACGATATATGTGAAGAAGACGGAGAGGGAGAAGATTTTGTCCGGTTAAGTAGTCAACAGCCTTAGCGTCCTGAACTACAAGTGGTCGTATCCAAAAAAAAAGTAAGAATGAAGGAGAAGAAGTGAGTTAACTGTGACCTGTGGTGATACCAATGACTGTTTGTGTCTGTCGATAGTATTGTGGCTTTCGAACAGGTGGACCGATTTTAATGCAGTTTTTTTATAGTTTGACATGCAATTATTACATGTATTATATTGCTTGAAGAAGTATGCAGATGCGGCATTAATTTTCTTATAAATTACGGATGAATTTAAATAATATATATTTCATTTCCTTTACCCTTTCATCCTTAAAAATGTTCTATATGAGTCATCCAAAAGCAACAGGGTAGATGAATATTTTTTTTTAATGTCCGTCTGGTAGATTATTTTAAATCATTAGACACGTATTTTTTATTTTCTTACAGTAACGAATAGTTCCGACAATGTATTGATTTGAAATGTCGCGTGACGTCACTTCTATGTACTTTTTATACGTAGAAATAACGTTTTAGCCGCCACTCCTAAACTTTGATTCGTTTTATCTAAGTATTGTTTTATTATACGACAAAATAAAAAAAATGTGTCTAATATTTTTTAATTACCTAACTTACGGACTAATTAGATTTTTAATTTTCATACCCTGTCATCATCCCAATTCTTAACCCATCCCTTTCCTAAACAACTAAACCACATTACCCGAGCCCCTATCTAATTCAATAAAGCACTCATTGTATTAAATAATTTAACTCAACCGAACATCGAACTATCTAATTACATCAATAATAACTTCCACCAATGAAAACTGTTTCGGAATCATAAACAGAATAAAAGTGGGCGTGGTTTAGAACCCTTTTGGTTTTATTAAATGGTTTAATGAACCCAAATTATAGAGTTTCATTGAAGTAGTAGCTGTAATACTGACGGGTAGACATTTTCTATTTCGTAGTTATATTTTTGTATGAATTTATTGTTGTTAAATATAATAAAGAAACTATAATAATGGAATCGTTATGATGATTTTTTTTATAGCATAGGTAAGCCGGTAAACGAGCAGACGGATCACATGATAGTAAGCAATCGGCGTCGCCTATGGACACTCGAAACACCAAGGCGTTACAAGTGCGTTACCAACCTTTTGGGAATTGGGAATTTGAGGATTGTGGAGGATCCGGGGATTCAGGAGACGGGGACTAGGGAGGAGGGTAATTGGGCCTCCAGCAACCTCACTCACACGACGAAACACAACGCAAGCGTTGTTTCACGTGGGTTTTCTGTGAGGCAGTGGTATCACTGCGAGGTATCAGTATTATAATGTATAACATTATTGATTTTAGTTATAATAAAATAAGATTCAACCAGCATACATTTGTTATCTATACAATCATATAAAAATGAATCCCTTTTTCCCTTTGTCACGACATCATGCGTAAATGGCTGGACCGATTTCACTAATTCTTTTTTATTGTATTTGTTATTATTAGGAGAAGGTTCTTAAGACAGAAAAAGTCATGATAATCCTACGGGAACCGGAGAAAACGGGATTGTGCGTACGTAGTCATGGACTGAAGCTTGTCGTTTTAAAATACTAAAAAGGCTTATACCTATAAAAAAATAAAATAATGAGGTGTGAAATTCAATATGGCGGGCTATAGTGTCATAATATGTTATGTGTGAATATTTTCAACTGTAAGTCGCGTGCTGACATGCTACACTATGATTTATTATAGAAATTACGGTTTATATTTGCCACTGTACAGAAATATCTAAGTTTTTAGAGACACAATAATTACTTTAAATACAAACGTTTGTGGATTAAAATGAACACACACTCGCTTAGTTAGTATCTAGATAACTCTTTTATTCTCGCAAATCTAAGCAAAATGTTTTTCATAGCTTCAAATCTTAAATGAAATCTAGATTCTATTCTATTTGGAAATGCAATCAAATTCACCAAAAGTAAGTAAGTGCTGAAATTCCAAGCTAATGATCATTATACCTGATCATTTTCACCATTAGCCTGTTTCTATCTATTGCTGGACATAAAAGCTAATTACTAATAAGTAGTATTTTATAAAGAGATATAGATACAACACTAAAAACCTATAATTAAACATCTTCTACTTAACACACAAAACACAATTAATTAGCAAAAAGATAGCACAAATAGATATCCGAAACACAACAACCTAAAAGAATTTATACTCTTCCTGCCACAGACAATACAACGCAACATTTTTAAATCACCCGCCATTTTGCCCACTAGCGCCGTTGTGGGAACTAAAGTAGGCTGTACAGTATACATACACTGAATTCCTTTACTTAAAAAATAAAGTGCTGGAAAGGAGAAGTTATGGCTACTGTTTCTGCGATAGTGTTAAGTGTGGTGGATTTATAGCCGTTTAGATGTAGCCGATTGTAGCCGATTTTATTATTCGTTTTGTTGGAATGGTGTGTTGATGGGTTGTTGGTTTGTGGCTGGTGGTTTAAAGGGTTTCGCGGGGTTTTAATTTTATCTGTGGTTATTGGTTATGGTTTTTTTACAGGGTGTATTTTTATTATGATTTCTAGTTTATCTTTGTTTTTAAACTATTTAGTAGTAACAAAATAAATTATGATAAGTCGTATTGTGTTTCAATTTAGTATAGTTTATAAAATACTGTTAATCATAATAAACTTTGATTAGGTACCTACAATTATATGATTCAGAAAACTTATGAAAATAATTAAAAAATATAGATGATTAGGAAAAACTAATTCCACAAATCTATGTCAAATGTCGCGGAGAAACCAATGGGTTACCGGGGCTCCGGCTCGATGTGCAGGAGAAGGAACGGGGTGGTTTTTAGTCAGTAAGAGTCTGACACTTCCTCCCGCCTCACCCAGGCGGGTGCAGTCATTCGATGATTTTCCCCCTTAAAAATATATATCTATGTGAATTCTCATTATTTTTACAAAATTACGTAATTATTACATGTATTCACATTCTCATAAAGATTAACATGGCCGAATAAATTGATAATAATTATTATTTACGTTTACACACAAACTGGTTCCTTTTGAACTAAAATAAATAAATTTATGTTAACGTACCTAATATAAATATTGTGTGTTGGCAACACACCAGTTGATCAAAGAAATAATAAATTAAAGTAATAATAATAATCATAAAAATATATTATAAACTAAACATGCGATTTAAAAACTAATTTTCACTCACGGTTTTGTCCAGTATGAGATTACAGGACTATGTTTTTTAGAAGCTATATCGTGATGAAATGACATTACAATCGGTTTAGTAGTTTAAGAATAGTGTTACAAACATACTTTACTGCCTCGTTGGCCGAGTGGTCGCAAGTGCGAGGGCAAGGGGTCTCGGGTTCGATTCCCGGGTCGGGCAAAGTATTACTGGGTTTTAAAAAAAATCCCAGTAGTAGCACGGAGTCTGGAACTGTGCCCGGTATATGGCAATAGACTCACCCCCCTATTACATGGGACTTATAACATAAATAGTGAAAAGGGGGTGTTACCTACATTAGTGGCATAATGTGCATCTCTGCCTATCCCTTCGGGGATAAAAGGCGTCATGTTATGTTGTGATACTTCCGAAAAGTCTCAGTAAAATATCAAAATATTTGAATCGAAATAGTTAATATTGAAGTTCGTTGAAGGTGTCCTATGGAGAAGAACGAGCAAGAAACTCCATAGACAACTCTTTTCCAATCAGTTTTTCTTTGAATCGTTTAAATTAAATAAAAACTTATCCAAGTCAAAACCGTTAATTTCAAATACACCAAGACGGCACTTTAAAACGTCAACAAAAAATTAAAAGTGAAGCTATTTGCTCATTCCAAAGTGTACTGTAGATTCCTATGGAGAAGAACGAGCAAGGACCTCTATAGGTATGCTAGCTAAGGAGGAGGCGGAGCGCGTGAGGGAACGAACCTCCTCACGACCCGGCCGTAGCGAGAGACACTCCGGGCGTCGGGGATCGCGAGACGATCTCCGGCCACCGTAAGCACGGGTCTGCGGACGGCGAGCATGGGTGACTCGCCGCCCGACCAGAACCAGGCCCGTGCGTACGGCGCGTCGCGTTCCGCGCGCGCCTCAAGGAGCCATCAGACCACCACAGATGGGGCCTAACAAGGCTGATGCCGATACGGAGCCGCGGAAGACTTAACGGGTTGCCGGGGCTCCGGTTCGAAGTGCAGGTGTAGGAACGGGGTGGTTTTTAGTCAGTAAGAGTCTGACACTCCCTCCCGCCTCACCCAGGCGGGAGAAGTCATGGGATGATTTTCCTCCCTCAAAAAAAAAAAAAAAAGGACCTCTATAGGTAGGTTACTTGTGAAATTCTTGCAACTTAGAATTCTGCTTACACCACATTGAAATAGAGCGTGAAGATTACAAACGAACATCCAGGAATCAAACGCAAAATCACTTTCAAATCGAAACAATAACTCGGCAATCAAAATTGTATTTTATTACCCTTAAAATAGAACAGGAAATCGTAAAACACTGGACTTCTGAAAAAGAATACAGTTAGCTATTCAGTGAAAAATGCGTTTTAACGCTTACAAAATAGAGTTTATTTTGGTGTTACAGTTTAAACGGCCATACATCAGGGTAATAAAAAGCCAGCTAAATTTTTATTCGCGTTTTTAATTAAACAACAGTTTGAAAATGCTTCGGACATTTTGTATAGCGAGAAATGGCGCGAGGAAATTGCTGGTCACTTTTGAAAAAGGAACGGGCGGCCATTTGCTTTTTGTTTTATTCTTTTTTTTTTGTTTCCATTTCATTTTATTACCAGCTTTAAAATAAAGCAGATATTATACTTTTTTTAAGAAATATATAGTGCAGTATAATGGGTGCTGTATTTTTTTAATAGGTCAAAATTTTTTTGTGTTTTTTTTTATTGTAATCTAACTTTAA